CCCCCCACCCCTCCCCTCCCCCCGCCGTGCGGTTTTACCATCTCTGTAATTAATTAATCACGTTCAATAAAGTTAATTAAAAGTCGTTAAGGATTGCGGTTAAGGGTGCCTTCATTGGGGATCCCCAAAGTTCATCCAGGGACCCCAAAATCCTCCCTGGGGACCCCAAAAATTTAACCAGGGACCCCCAAAGTTCATCCAGGGACCCCAAAAATTCAACCAGGGACCCCCAAAATTCACCCAGGGACCCCAAAATCCTCACTGGGGACCCCAAAAATTCAACCAGGGACCCCCAAAGTTCACCCAGGGACCCCCAAAGTTCATCCAGGGTATCCAAACCTCACGCAGGGACCCCAGCCAATAGGAGAGCGGAGCGCCCCCGTCAATCACGCCCCTCAGCCAATAGGAGAGCGGAGCGCCGCTGTCAGTCACGCCTCTCAGCCAATAGGAGAGCGGAGCGCTTCTGCTGGTCCCGCCCCCTGCCCGCGATCGGCGGTCGGGTCCGAAAGCGCTCGGAATGATCCCGAATTCCATCGGAATTATCCCAAAATTCTATCGGAACGACCCCAAATTCCATCGGAATTACCCCAAATCACATCGGGATTACCCCAAATCACATCGGAAAGCCCCAAAATCCCGTCAGAATTGTCCAAATCCCATCGGAATGAGCCCAAATCCCATCAGAATGTCCCCAAATCCCATCAGAATGACCCCAAATCCCATCAGAATGACCCCAAATCCCATCAGAATGACCCCAAATCCCACCAGAATGTCCCCAAATCCCATCAGAATGTCCCCAAATGCCGCCGGAATGACCAAAATTCCATCAGAAAGGCTCGAAATTCCATCGGACGGACCCCAAATCCCCCCGAAAAGGTCCAAAATCGCCCTGAAATGACCCCAAATCCCATCAGGATGACCCCAAATCCCACCAGAATGAGCCCAAATCCCATCAGGATGACCCCAAATCCCACCAGAATGAGCCCAAATCCCATCAGGATGACCCCAAATCCCACCAGAATGAGCCCAAATCCCATCAGAATGTCCCCAAATGCCGCCGGAATGACTGAAATTCCATCAGAAAGGCTCGAAATTCCATCGGACGGACCCCAAATCCCCCCGAAAATGCCCAAAACCCCCTCAAAAGGACCCCAAATCCCCCCGAAAAGGTCCAAAATCGCCCTGAAAGGACCCCAAATCCTCTGAGGAGGGGTCCAGGACCCCCCTGAAAGGACCCAAAATATTCTGGGGAGGGTCCGGACCCCCTGGAAGGACCCGAAATCCCCTCAGAAAGGTCCAAAATCGCCCTGAAAGGACCCGAAATCGCCTGGGGAGGGGTCTCGGACCCCCCTGAAAGGACCCGAAGCCCCTCAGGAGGGTCCAAAGCTCCCCCCATAGCCCCCCCACATCCCCTATAGCCCCCC